GGAAGAGATTTGAGAATTAAGTTTTGGCTTTTAGCCAAAACTGAACAATTTACTTTAAACGGTACACGCTTTTTCGTCCAAACTGCTCCGAATTGAAAACGAATTGTGTTTTTGGAATGAGACAATCAAAACTAGAATTTTGACGTAATCAAAATATTTTTCTGAGAACTTTTATTTTCTCAGTGTTCGAGTCTGTCTCAGTTATAAATTAATTTAATACGGAGTAATATGAATGAGATAAAAATATATGAATTAAATCCAAATGATAAATATGGTGTTGTCAAGGGTCAAAATTATGATTTCTAATTTTATGAAATCTCCTTTAAATTGTGTTTATTTTATGGGTCAAAGTTACAAATTTTAATATTTAAAATCATCATAGCTACAAATCTATAAATCAGATGGGTTCATAAAATGTACCGTTGGATTCATCTCTTCGAGACATATCCATAAAAATAAATTTTTTATAAAAAGTAATTATTTTGAAAGTCCATTTATTTTTGGTCAAACGTGTAAATATTCCTTATTGGACAGAATTTACTTTTGTTTTATAATAAATTTTAGACCATATTTTGTGGCGTTACAGAAAAATCACAAGTTTATTGGAAATCTTAAGAACTCGGGTTTAACAATATCTCTAAAAAAAATTACATTGAATATTGGGGAAGACCTAAAGTCCCTATTACAGTCTAAATACATGATCATCAAAATCTATAATATTTTTCCCAACAAATGGGATAAACCCACAACCTAAGCAGTTATGCGAATTGCCCACGCTTAAGAGTTGAATTGAGTATTCTATCTCCATTGGAGCTCTGCCATTCTATTATATTTACAAAAAAAAAAGCAATAAGAAGGGCATTATGGGATAACTCACGGGCATAACAAAATAATAATAATAATAATAATAATAATAATAATAATAATAATAATAATAATAATAATATACTCAATAGAGATAAGTAGACTAAAACACTACAAATCGTTATTATTTACTAACCTTAAAGGATTATTAGAAGAACAACTTACTCATTCAAACTTTTAAATAAGTTCATTATTAAATTCTTGAAATGAGTGATGAGATATTTAGTTGTTATTAATTGATTATTGTAAGGAAGTAACATTTTAGAATGTAATCGAACAATCTTTTTCATACTAGTGTCACCACTGATACGTCCGTTTCGTACTTATCTTTTTACTCATATTCAATTCGTTCTTGTACCATTTTTGTTATCAAAACAATAAATTCTTTATTCTTTTTGATCAAAAATATATGTTTTGATGAATTGATCATAAAAAGAAGGTTTTTGAATTAATATGTAAAATTGGGCCAAGAATGGAGTAAAAAAGTAAATTTTTAAAAGGAAAAACAATTCAATCTTCCAAACGATGCGGAATTAGAAGTTAGTGCAGAAGGAAAAACTGTTCAGAACAAAATTTTGAGCAAAGTAGCATCGGCAGATTTTGGCGGCCTGACAGGCGGTCAGGTAGCCGGCCCGGCAGCCGGCTACCTGACTGCCGGCTTGTTGGCGGCGCGGCAGCAAGAAGCAGATCCGGCGGGGATTGAGAGCGCCGGCGGGCTGGCAGGCTGCAGGCTGCCTGCCCGCTTGTCGACGGCGTTCAGCGGCGTGAGTTTCCAGAGGGTTCCAGCGGCGCGGCGGCGGGCTGGCTGGCGGCTGCCGATCTGCCCGCCGGTGGTTCCTCCTCCTCCTATTTAAGGCGTGCATCTCCTCCCGTTTCCAGCGCGATTTCCCTTCGTTTTTTCCCCTTTTTAGGGCAAAAATCTTCACTTTTTGTTGGTTAAATTTCATCATTCCAAGTTAATTCTCACGTCTTTAAAGCACTGTAAGTTTTCTTTTCTATTGTAATTTTTATTGAACTTTTTATCAATAAAATATTCTTTTGTTAATGATTGATATGTGCTTGAGGATTTTATATTTTATTATGATGAGGTTGAATGTTTTGTTTGAAATTATGAATTGGTAATTTTAAATGGGTTAGGATTCGGAATAAAGATTTAATCAATTTAATTTCATCTATTTATTAGTAACTGGATTAATTTTTAGAAAATGAATTAATATTTATTAATTATTAAAATTGTTTTTATTATTAATTAATTCTTGGAAATTAATCTTTTATCTTGTCTATGAGGTAATAAGATTAATTAAGCCACACGTTTCGAACACCTAGAAATAGGAAGGGTTAGAAATAATCGTTTGAAATGAGTTTAACTAATTAATAATACTAAACATTTTATTAATTAAGTAATTGGAATTGGAAAATAGTTCTTGCCTTGTCTATGAGGATTTAGAATTATTTTAGCCGAGCATTTTCTAGCACAGTACTGAGACCTAGAAATAGGAGATGTACTGGAAATATAATAATCTTATAATTAGTACTGAGACCTAGAAATAGGAGTTGTATTAAATATAAGATTAACATTTTATGTTCTATATTGAGACCTAGAAATAGGAGATATGTTAGACATAAGTGTTATACATTTCATTAATCTAATTGCCAATTAAAAGATGAGTTAAATTGTGATGAGTCCGAGTTCCAATCCTAACTCCTGAAATTGTTTGGTTTATTATTTTAACTACATTAAACTCTTAATTTTGCTTCTCTTTTAGTATATTATTAGACTAAAATTAGCCTGTGATAAATAATAAAACTCACTATTCCCTTCGTCACTCCTGGAGATAACGACCCGAGTCTAACTCGGTTACTTGTTGACTTACCGTTATACGCAGTTCGTCAAGCACTTTGAGTTGTGCTCGTTCCTCTTCACGTTTTACCGTCCCTTTTGACCCTCATTGATATACACATCGATATTGAAAGGGAAGTCATGTGACGGAGCCGTTTCGTGCGGTGGCGGCCCGACGGTGGTCAGGACAGTCGGCCGGTTTTGGTTCTGGAATTGTTGCCACTGCATTTGTTGCCATTCTTGAAATTGTTGCAGTTGGAAAGATGTCAACCCTTGAGAGTAAGCCGCAAATGAAGGGAATGGACAGCTAGAGGAGGACACCGGTGGTCAGAATGGATCCATTGCACTCAAATATCCTGGTAGTAATGAAAACAGAAACGATCTCGTAGTAATGAAAGAAGTGACCGCTACTCTTTCAAATTCATGCCTAAGATTGAATTTCATATATTCAATAGATCCAATCATAGAAATTGGATTAAGAAGTGTGTTCGATATTTCAATTTGTGCAAAATTCATGAAAACCAAAGGTTAGATGTTGCATCGATATATCTATTGAATTTTAAAGTACCAAGTTGAACACAATTTGATAAGAACTACTCCGTAGCTTTTATTATATTAGAAAAACATAACTCAAAACCTAATACAATAACTCTCATATAAATCTCATATCAAAACCCAAGGCTTGGCTATGATATATATAGCGTTAACCCAACTTGGTCAACAAGTAAGCTAATTAATCTTAAACTCATAATTTTATTTCTACTCAAACTAAAATATCTCAGGTAATCAAAATCCTACTCGACAATTTGTAAGTTTGTGGGGGTGCAACAGAAATCACCAATTAAAAGCTACATAAACAAATCAAACAACTATGTTGTAGAGAAGATACTACATCGCTATCACAATAACATATGACAGACAGTGTGATATAACACTCTATCTGTCACAAGCACACACAGAAGCAGATAATGCTGAGGGTGTTACAGCGCCTACTGGGTAGAATGTTGTAACTATAAAATGCGTAAAAAATAACACATGATATGTTTACGCAGTTCGGAGAACTCTCCTACGTCTCCAAGGCCCACGCTCGTGTGATAGCCCTCCACTAAATCACTAGATGCAAGTTATACCGGTACATAACAACATGACTATGAGACACACTTCTCCGAATTGTTATGACAAAATTTCTAATCTAGGATTTCTAACTCGTACCATGTACATATCCGCTTCGGCTATCACATCTCCACCGAGATCACGAGGACAAACGTTTTGGCATCCCACTCGTTTAGCTCTAGTTCATCTCTTGGATGTCACAATTTGTTCGGCGTTGCAGATCTTCTCCTTCATGTAGATCATAACCTTCTTCATACATGGGAAGCTCCAAAACGCTATGGAAATGCTCTACATCAGCGTACATTCTTTGCTTTCCCCCTCGATCGCTCCAAGGAATTCCTAGGGACCTGTTGCATTTTTATAGGCCAATCGAAACCCAATCCTCGTAGGGATATGTTAGTAAAAGTTGGCTTGAATACAACTTCTTTAATCTTGACCCACAAGTAGCCTAATGAGTTGGGATTCCTTAACATGTACAACTGTAGTTATTATCATCTAGTCACAATCCCAATAGGTCTCTAATTCAGATTGCAGGTTAAAATCCCGTGCTCAGACTTCTGATTCCAAACAGTGTGTTGCATCATCGTGTTATAGCATCTTCTGTGTCAACCTCGAAAATTGCATCAACTCAAGAAGTTTAAATAAAATAAACCTCTCTTAACAAATAGAGGTTTCTACCTAGTAAAACACCTAACAAATATGTGATTCTATTTTGCCAAAAGATTAGCCAACACCTGGGAACTAACACAATTAACCAACATTCACTCCCCTAATTTTCGAGTTGGATTTTCAGGCGATCTTCAATTCTAAGCATGTCTTCTTTAGCTTGTTTTTTTTCGAGGCTCTTCATAATCCCTTGCATTGTTCTTTGGGCTCCACTTAGCATTAACAAACACTTGCTTCTTGCGATCATTACACATCCTTCTTTGGGTTAGAATCCTTTTTTTGACATCTCCTTTAAAGTCTTGAACATTCTTTTTTGGATTTTGAATTTTCGGTTTCTCCATGAAACTTGGATCTTTGAGAAGATTTTGATTCGTTCTTCGCTCAGTTGATCAACTCTTTGTAGATCCTTACCCGCAAAATTCTTCATTCCAATAATGCTAACTTGTGTTTCAGGACTTGTTATCTTGAGATTGATCAGCTTCTTGAATAGGGGTCCTAGAAGTGACAGAAACATTCTTTTGACCCTCCCTATTACAAACAACGTACTGCCAGATAATCACACCATCCAGAGACTTTGTTGTCGTGCTTTTTTCGTGCATCAAAGCCAACCAGTGCTGCATATTCCCTGTAAAATGCAATTACATCCTCTAAATTTCTAAAAAGCGTACCAACCCTTGGTTTGGAGCTTTCTAGGCACGGAGGAGCGAATCCAAGATTATATAAGGATTGACTGTATTGCTCCGTCGAAGAATATGAGTCTGTGTGTAGGTGTAGTGAATGATTGGAACATTAGATGTTATGTAAAAAAGTGAAAATACATGTAATGAATTGGAATTATTCTGAGCATTAAACTATAGATGAGTAAAAAAACCTGAATCTTAATCCATGAACATGAAATCAGAATATGGAATCCACTAATCTTTGGTGCCGATATTCTATGATATCGATCTGAATAGATGAATATTGCGTGTGGGTGAGATGGGAATTGACGGAGAAGGGTGTAGTATTTCGCCATCTTCCACAAGGTAAAATTATATTGTAGAAATACTCAATCTCTTTCAAAACTAAGCATTTACCTATTTAGACTATGCCATCTCATTATCATCTGTTACATATTTTTCTCCAGGCTTTTAGAAAACTACAAGTACCTTAATTTTAGATTTTTTTAGATTTTTTTACCATTGGTATTTTACTATCTTTTATTTCATCAACTTTATTTGTATTAAATCAATTATCTAATACGGAGTATGTAATTGTATTATACATTGGTTATTCTAATTATAAATTTCTTATAAATATAGGTAACCACTAAAAAAATTCGACATAAAACATTACAGAGTATTTATTGAAATTAGAGAAAATTATATAATGTTAACACACATAAATTACATAAAATGAACTAAGAAATTTTCATGAAAATTGCTTAAGTAAACACACAAAATATACATCCTATGTCCAGCGTATTCGTTCAATTTGACTTTTTTGAATAAAATTTGTACTAACTTTAATTATCAACTACTCTTAATTTGTATTGCATATTAATACAATAAAAGTAGAGAGGTTTTTGGGATAATTAGTGGGTAAAAATTAATTTATTTAGAAGAAGAATGAATTTTATAATTGGTCCACTTAAACTGAGAGTTTTTCATATTTAGGATTTGTTCCGTTCAATTTATTTTTTCAGCTTATTACTTATTTTTGTTAAATAAGATGAGATTATATATGAAACAATTTTAAATAAAAGTACAATTAGATCAGATATAATAAGATTAGGTCTTATCAGATCATATTCGATATGGTTAAGTTAGATTAGATCTTCAAAAATGTGATTAGATCAGGTGAATGGAGTGCAACGTAACCTTAGTCTTCTGTTACCAAATGTTATGTAGGGATAAAACATGAAAGTCTTATTTTTGTTTTCTTGTTGACGTTTTCAAAGTTAAAGTCTAAATGCAATACTTGTGAAAATCATGCATGTCAACCTGCCGTCCTATCGTCTCTTCGTCCTCCGGCTGGTTCACATAATCTGTGCTTCGACCTACATGTAGACAAAAAGACTACACGCTCAGCATTGAGCTGAGTGGTACGATAACGCGAGAGATCGATAACATATTTATACTCAAATACCATGCATCACATTGGCCACATAATTTTCATGCTTGCATAGTAGATAGAACAAGATATAAGGAACACATATACATATCATGGAGATTCATTTTGGAATATTATCCAAACATAAATACCTTGGCCTTGTCGTCGACGATGTTGGATATGAAGTGCGCTACGTTTTGCAATACCACATATAATTTGATAATTGAGATTTGTATAATTATTTACAACCGATGCAATGTCAAATGATTCATGATGCATGAGTTAGACTGCGTAGGGACCCCCTGCCCTTCGGGGATCATCCCCACGCGGTAGATAAGCCAAGGAACGCCTTAGTCTTCCCGATGGAGACTAAATAATATGGGTGATGGCTGGAAGTATAGCTACCATGTACGTACACAAGCCCTCGTGATGAAAACTCGTTGGATCCCGCAGGCTCCTGGACGGGCCTGCGGAAGAGGCGCACTAGGCCTGACCTCTTGACGCGGTATGCAATGGTATGCCATGATCCTACGGCATGCGTCTAGAATAATGATGTTATGATTGGTATACTACATTGTATTTAAGTGAGCATGCTTGGATTAAAATTAGGTACTCATGATTAGGTTTTAGTATGGGGCCCAAGCCCATTAGGTTAATTCGGGTTTCTCATATCTCTATATATTGTACTCTCGTATTATTTTTATGGAAGCAATAAAGAATAATCAAAATCCTAATCTCCTTCTCTATTCTCTTGGAACTCGGAAACGATCGAAGTTTTCCATCTTTCTCTACCTCATCTTCTTGGAGCTTGAAGAACGCTCGAAGTTCTTCCCTACCCAATATGTTATTCATATCAATTGGTGATTTCATTGTTGAACTCACCACAAAAAAAACAAAAAAAGATGTCACCACCGCTGAAGAGGAATCCAAGATCCAGAAACAAAGCCACAAATCGGCATGAGATTGGCAGCCGCCATTGCAATTTGGTGTTAATTGTTTCTGTAGAACCCTTGCGTCAGTGGAAGTGGATCCAAGTTGGTGAAAAATCAGTGTTATTGTGCTACTGCACCTGGATCGCCGACGCCTTACACGAAGTAGCCCACCGCCGTAGTTTAATTTAGCTCCTAGACTGGCAACGGCAATGTAGTGGCAGGTCCTTCAATTGATTTGGTTGGTGGACCTCCAATTGTGCAAGTCAAATTCTTTTTGAGTTACAAATTTTCAAAACACACATTATGGGTATTATACGGAAAGTGACAAGTGCACCTTCTCAAGCAACGTTGCCCCCAAGATGTGACGGAACCAAACCTGTGCAGTGGTTAGCTACGGTATGTGAGTATTTTCAATTTTATGAAGTCCCTTTAGTTGATCGTTTGAACCGCGTGACTTCAATGTTAGAGGGCTCTGCCTTGGCTTGGTTTAATTGGCGTATGCGTAGTGGCTTAATTGATGGTTGGGCGGATTTTGTTGAAAGTTCAAGATTCGATTTGCTCCGCTACATGATTTGGATTATATTTGCTTTGAGAAGACACCAAAGAAGGTTATAGACAAATTTGTTCATAGGGTGGAAGATACTAACATACTACCTACCCCGACTATGCAGGATGCACTTGGATCCAAGAAATTCCGCACTGGACCACGTGGTGAAGATGAGGTGAGCAATGTATTTGAAGCCATGAATGAAGATATCAGGAAGCCCAACACTGTGGAAGTAATTGATGATGATCGTAAGCATGCAGATGTTGCTAAGAACTACAAGCCAGATCCTACTTTTCAGGATATGGATACCTCGATTGATGTGGTCATTGCAGAGTATAAAGTTTCAAGATGTGAAGACAAAGTAGCGGATGAAGAGTTTCCCAAAGTTGACAACTCAATTTCATTGTATACCCTCAAGCTGTTTGACCTTGATGATATTGAAATGTTTGAATACCTAGCTCCCTTGCGGCTAGTCCGCCACCTGTTTGGTTTTGCCTCAAATATCCTCTGTTACGCTTTAATTGTCGAGATTTGTAATGATGGGTCATCAGGTGGAGATCTTCTTTGGTTCAACCCTTTCCTTTTGGTCTAGAAGCACGAGTGGGAACCTCCACCTTGAGGACAAGGTGGCTTTCTAAGGGGGTGGGAATGAAACAAAAGATGAATTATATTATTTACTTAGTTAGTTATTAATTAGTAGTATTGTATAGGTACTCATGATTAGGTTTTAGTATGGGGCCCAAGCTCATTAGGTTAATTCGGGTTTCTCATATCTCTATATATCGTACTCTCGTATTATTTTTATCGAAGCAATAAAGAATAATCAAAAATCCTAATCTCCTTCCCTATTCTCTTAGAGCTCGAAAACGCTCAAAGTTTTCCATCTTTCTCTACTTCATCTTCTTGGAGCTTGAAGAACGCTCGATGTTCTTCCCTATCCAATACGTTATTCATATCAGGCGTAACGGATTTCCAGCTCGGAGCGAGTCCGGGCGTCCGAGAATATGTCCGATGAGGATTCTCCGGCAGCGGCGTGGATTAAGTTGGCGTGGGTGGCGTGGGTGTTGAGGAAGGTGACGGTGAAGTCGTGAGAAGCAAGTTTGAGTGCGAGGTGGACGAAAGGGGTCAGGTGGCCTTGAAGTGGGGATGGCACCATCACCACATGAACGGGGGCGCCGCTGCTCTTCTTCTTCTTCATCTTCTTCTTGTGCTTTGTTTCAAGCTCTGCCTTTATTTTGTTCTTGATCAAGTATTATATACTACCGGTTTTTTTATATCAAAGTTTTTAAATTTTGACCATAAATTATGTAAAAAATAAATTAAATTGTGATAAGAATTTAATATCAGTAAAGAAATTTCAAAACGTATCTTTATTTTCTACTATATTTTTATATAAATAGGGATATTATCTCAACTTAAAATCTTTCAGAGTATACCATATTTCTCCTTTATTACAGATAAAAATTATTTCAAGAGTATTTTAGACATTTTAGGTGATCGAGATAGAAAGATTTTATGAAATGCCTAAAAAATTAGGAAGAAAATTAATTTTTGAAACAGAGTAGTAATATTTTAATATCATTTCTATTTAATTTGGGGTCAAATTTTACGATTTTTGTCCGAAAAAAGTCAAAAGTTGACAAGTACTCCGAGACGGAGGGAGTACATAGTATGTTTAGAAATCCAAAAAAGTTTATTTATAAATTCATACACTTTCACTTCTAATGTGAAATTCAAAACTTCCATTTTTAGAATTTAAAAGAATTCAAATGAAAATTAACTTCTCAAATATGCACTACCTAATGTTTTAGAAAATGATTTTTTTTTTCCTTTTGAAGAATGAATTCTACATCTCCTCTCTAAAAGATTGCCATTATTTGACTTTTTTGGTCAAACTGTTGTTTCCTTTGACCTTGAATTATGAAAAAAAATATTTTTAATTATAATAACGTAAACTTAGTAAAATTAGATTTATTTTAAAATATATTTTTTTAGATATAAATATTTTATAATATTTAATTATTTTACACTACATTTTAAATTTAAACCAAAACATACCCTTTTCTCTTAAAAAGAGTGATATGTTTTTATTTTAAATGTGCACCAAATTTTGGATTGTCTTGCCATTGAACTTTTTCTTCTAAATGTGATATGTGATGCAAATATGACATTTAAAGTTGGAAAACCACATTGTTGTTTTGATATTTTATACTCCATATTTAATTTTTGTTGACATTATATACTCTCTTCTTCCTAAGGATTTATCTCCTCATTATTACCGTCTTTCAATAACTTATTTATTTATATGTTTTAATTAATCATTTGATAAAATAAAATATTTTTATCACCTTTTGTTTTTTGAAATTTTGATACGATTTTTAAATATATAATTTTTATTTTTTATTTCAATATCAATTTGTAAATAAAATTATTTTAAAATTCACTAAGTTTTGCAGGTTGATCGAAGGGAGTAATTCATTTTGGGAGGAAGAGAGTATTATTTCCTCCGTCCCACAATAATATTGCACAAGTGAGTGGACGGTGGACACAAAGATTAAAAAATAAAATTGTGTGATTGTAGTACAGGGAAGAGAGAAATTGTGTTAGCCCCAAAAAGTTTCCCGATTATGGAAAGTGAAACCGATTTTTGGGACGGATAAAAAAGACATTGTAAAACATTATTACTGAAAGATTAATGGAGTAACATGTTTGACATGCATTCCATGTCTGTACTTATGCATTACCATCTTTGTAATTATAGTTTCGGCTAACATGGTATAGTTACAATAACATTGTATAGTGGCAATAAATGTATCAATGCATATACTCCCTCCGTCCCATAAAATCTTTCTTCTTTCTTTTTTCATCCGTTCCATAAAACACTTCTCATTTCTATTAAAAAGTCACTTTTACCCCTTACTTTTTCATACCCTACCTATCACATCATACCTTTTTACTAATAATCTACCCATCAAATTCTACTTTACCCATCACATCAAAGGCCATTTTTGGAAATTCAATAACAAAATACACTCCCTTAAATCTCTTCAAAAAGCAAAACATCCCATATTTCATGGGACGGAGGAAGTATTTTATTAGTGTAGTCTCGTTTATTAGTGCCAATGAATTAATAGAATTATTTTCCAACCAAACTGTTAAATATATTCTTACTATATTTAATATTAATGTGTATTGGTAGCTACCATAATTGTATAGGGTGCATTTAATATTGCTTCCTATTATCATTAGGAAACCCTTGTATATATACACATGTAATCTCCCATAATAATTTATGTGAAAATATTTATTCTTCATGGTATCGGAGCCCTAATTCTCGGCTTCCGTTTCCTCCCTCCCTCCCTCCCTCTCGATCGGCAGATCCCCAACCCCCCCAACCCCCGATCAACTCTCTCTCTCTCTCTCTCGGCAGTCATGGCCGACGCCAACTCCTCCTCCTCCGGCAAGGTGACTTCAACCTCCGAAAACTCTTCCTCCAACAACTCCCCCCATCTCGCCTTCACAGCTATATCCAACATCAAACTCCATATCCCTGTTCAACTCAGTCTCTCAGAACCCAATTACAAAAAGTGGAGTCGATTATTCCGTCTCTTGATCCTCCGCTTCAACCTCAAAGGCTACATCGACGGCACAACCATTGCCTCCTCCGCGGACGATGCTGAATGGTATCAATTTGATGCCCTAATTCAAGGATGGATCCTGTCTACGATCACAGATGAAGTCTCCGACCTTGTACTCGCCAACAATCTCTCTGCTCCTGCACTATGGACGACAATCTACAATCTCAAAGGCTACATCGACGGCACAACCATCGCCTCCTCCGCGGACGATGCTGAATGGTATCAAATTGATGCCCTAATTCAAGGATGGATCCTGTCTACGATCACAGATGAAGTCTCCGACCTTGTACTCGCCAACAATCTCTCTGCTCCTGCACTATGGACGGCAATCTACAATCTTTTTCACGACCACACACATGCCCGGGCGATGCAACTGGAGCACCGTTTCCGTACAACTGTGAAGGGCCAACTCTCCATCAACGAATATTGTCGTCTTCTCAAAAATATCTCAGAGTATCTCGACAATGTGGATGCTCCTGTCACTGAACATGCCCTTGTACTCCAGGTTCTTCAAGGCCTCCCTCACGACATCTAGAGTCAAGTTCAGTTTTTGCAATACCAAAATCCACTCCCGACATTCTTGGAAGTTCGGTACGCCTTGCTCCTCGTTGAACAGCAACAAACCGACGCCGTATATGGTGCTGGAGCGCCATCCACAGCCCTCCTCAGCACCGGCGGTAGCGGCGGACATGCGGGCAGCGGTGTAACACCCCAACCCACGTAACCCGAATCAACAAGTTAGCGAATCAGGTTGTTACTAATTTGGTATTCACATGCATAATATTTTAAAAACATTTAATAATAAAATATCAATTAACATTTATTTAGAAATAATTCATAATCAATCGGAGTAAATAATTCAAACGTTGCGGAAGCCTTTAAGACAACATCGTCAAACATTCTTGTAGCTTAACAAAATAAAAGTCAACAAGTATTTAATTCAATTTCAAACAGCTTTGGGCCATCCACCAGCGTCACGCTTCACTATCCTCCACGCTGCTCCTCCTCTAAACCTTGACCCCTACCTGTAAAAATAGGGAGAGTGGAAGTATCTAACGCTAGAACTAACTCATAGACTAGCACCCGTTAACATATAATCATACAATATCAGAAGAATCAGTAATTACAATTATCAAATAGTAAAATCCGTCGTTCGTTCGTTCGTACGTCCGTTCGTTTCATATCCTTGCGTATGGTTACCACACTTAACGTATTCGACTAAAATCTAAGTAAACACACTAGTCATGGACACTCTTGGAAAGGTGTCCAAGAGGCCAAGCTTGTAAACCCAATGGAAGGTGTCCAATTGGGCGGGTTGGAGCCCGTACCACGGAGGTGCCGAGGCAGGTCACGGACTCCCGTACGTACGCTTTAACCCTGGAGACCATCAGGTATACGCCAACACCTGCATGACCTTATGTTTCAAATCCTTAGTCTTACAAATGATTTAGATTTCCAATTCAATACAGATTTTCTTAATACTACTATGTGGATCAAAATCACAATTTCAATTCCACAAATAATTATCACCAACAAATTTCATACTTAGACAAAACCCCACCTACTTGAACACATCCTGCTGTCAAGGTAAAGTTGGAGTGAGTGGTAGCCATTATTTAAATTTTAAGTTCCATGTAAAGAGTAATCTGCAAGAGATTTGAATCCATGGTCCCAAATCACAATTTCCAATAATGGCTCGTGTAAATTGGAAGTGGAAGGAGTATGACTCCACCTTCACAGTAAGTGGAGTAGAAGAATTGCAGTAGCCATGTGGAACAAGAATCAACATCAACAACAGCTTCAATCAAGCACCATAATTGTGGCGTTTTATAGCAGTAGCGTCAAGCCTCAATTCCAGTAGCGGCGACAGTAAACAACTTTGACAGCGAGGGCTGGCGGAGCTTCGGTAGCATCTCCCTTTGACGGCCGCAGCGTCCAGGGGTCATCGGCAGCAGCTCCTTCGGGGACGGTACAGCATAACGAACAGAGATGGAGCACATAGGCGGGGAGGAGGAGAAAAAGAGGAACACAGAGGGCAGAATAACAGAAGAAGAACAGAGGTAAACAACGGAGAAGAGGGGGGAAACAGCCCACAACCTTCATCCGAACCACAGATCAAATTCACAATATCAAATCCAAATTAGATTTTAACACAATCTAATCACACAATTCCATAATCATAATCACGAACTCAACACCAATTGCACAAGAATATACTAACGAATCCTAACCTACGAGTAAATTTTAGCGAGAGATAAATCACTCACCTCAATTGGATCGACGAAGAATCAAAGTGGCGACTAGATTCCGGCGAAGAACCCTGGCGATGTCCGGCGACTCCTCCTCTGGACAGAAGTTTCGTGCGAAGAAGAAGAGAAGAGGCCGTATATATGCTTAATGGAAATGGGTTTCATTCCATTATTTATGACTCCGTATTATTATTATTATTATTATTATTATTATTATTATTATTATTATTATTATTATACTACTAAATCTCTTTTCATTAATTTATTGAACTGTACGTATTGACTATTCCGCTTATCACGGTTTACACAAAATTCTAAACTTGACAAATAATATATCGTTGGTCACCTTTTTTCGAGATCTATCCGAAAACCCAAATTTCGTAGGATAATATTATGTCTACATCATATTTGTTTTTTTATTCGTTTTCCTTATAATCTTTTCAGTCTCGGACGGTCAAACCCCTAACCTTCGTAAGTCGCATCCGTACGCGGGACATGTCGTCAAACTCGTTCCAACGAGGCGTTCAATCCGAGTATAATCTCAACGATAAAAAGATTCCTTTAAAATATCTTATTTCAATATTTTCGTTTTGACGTTTATTTAATTTAAATACAAATTAGAATTGTAATTAATTAGAAATTTATTATAAAATTCTAGGGTATATCTCAGGGCGTTACAAGCGGACACCGGCAGGACCGAGGCAGCGGCTATGGCGGATCTGGGAGCAGCGGCGGCTTTGGCGGCGAATTTGGTGACGGCTACGGCGGACGCGGCAGGAACTCCGGCGGTGGCAGTGGAGGCGGCAATCGCGGCAGGGGTCGCGGCGGCGGTCGAGGTCGTGGCGGCGGCGGCAATCCACGGCAACCCACGGGCCACACTCCCTAGACAGTCCCCTCCCCTAAGCCAGGGTTACTTGGGCCACGGCCCAACCCGTCCCACCCCCTTGCCCAAGCCCACATTCACTAAGGCCCATATTCACCCAACCCCTTTTACCCAACACCTGGCCCAACTCACCCAAACCCAAACCCATTTCCCCACTACCCAACCCAGCCCTCCCCATACCCGAACCCCACCCCCCCAGCCCACTCCCCTGCCTACCCGTACCCCTACACCATCCCACCCAACCCCACTTCCCTCGCCCATAGCCTTGAGAACCTCACCCTAACCCCCACTCAACCCCACTAGTTCATGGACACCGGAGCTCCCCATCACATCACTTCCAACCCAGATACTTTATCTCGTGTATTTACTTCAAGCATTAATTCTCCTTCACATATTATTGTTGGTAATGGTTCTAAAGTGAGCACTACTGGTTTTGGTAAGGGCACCCTTCCCACATCCCCTCCCCTCACCCTAAGCAATGTTTTAATCTCCCCACATATCATCCATAATCTCATATCTGTCCGTCAATTTGATCGTGACAATAATTGCACCATTAAATTTGACTCTTGTGGTTTCTCTGTAAAGGACAAATTTACGGGAGCCGTGATTCATCGATCCAATAGTGATGGACCTCTCTACCCCATCTCCCAAGCGCCCTCCAACGCACACCTCAATTTGGCCCAAGTCGATCTCTCCACCTGGCACCGACGGCTTGGACACCCCAGCCCCGCTGTTCTCCATGGCGTGTCATCTTCTTTAGCTAGTTTTTCTAAATCAAAATTAGATCTTTTATGTCATGAATGTCAACTAGGCAAACTTGTACGCCTTCCTTTTCAGTCTTCTAGTCGTATTTCAACTTTCCCATTTCAATTAATGCACACTGATTTATGGCAATCTCCTGTTCCTAGTGTAACTGGTTTTAAATTTTACATGTTTTTATTAGATGATTTTTCTCATTATTTATGGATTTTTCCCCTCCACCACAAATCTGATGCTTACTCTCATATTGTAAAATTCCATGCTCTAGTTAAAAATCAATTTAATATAACCATAAAATCTGTTCAATGTGACAATGACACTAAATATAGAAATAACCCTCTTGCTACATTTTTTGAATCTCTAGGAATTCTTTTTCGCTTCTCCTGCCCCTACACGAGCCAACAGAATGGCCGCGCAGAACGCACCATCCACACAATAAACAACACCATCCGCACCCTTCTTTTTTCAAGCTAACCATCCTCCTCACTTCTGGGTAGAAGCCCTACATATAGCTAGGGGTGTTCATCGGTCCAAGTCCGGACCGAATCGGACCGACCCAGACCAGACCGAAGACCGAATTGGTTAAAATCACAGACCGAAGACCAGACCTAAATCTATTCGGGTTTGGACCGGACCGGACCGAAATACTTATGACCGAACCGGTCCGGACCGATTAGACCAAATAAAAATGTATTTTTTTAATTATTTTGATCATTTAAATATGTTTTTGGTTTTGATTTTTTGTCTTTCAAAAACAATATTTTAGTCTTTTTATTTTGTAGCGTACAAATAGGAAAAAAATAGACAACTTAAAAATAGATACACAACTTGAACTACTTCTATGTAGAATAATAAAAACTAATGCGGAACTTTTTTTAACTTTTTTTTAAAACAAATCTTAACAAAAATATTTTAAATTAAATAAATTAAAATATCTATTCAAATAAAGCGTCAAAGTGTATTACAGAACTTAAAAAGTGGAGTTTACGTATTTAGGTCCTTTAGATCCAATAGGGTTATTAGGTCCATCTGGTCCAATCGGTCCGGACCTAAATCATTTAGGGTTTGGACCGGACTGGACCGAAACTCGAATTCCTAATTTTTTTGGACCGAAGACCGACCCGAAATCCATTCAGTCCGGGTTCGGTCGGTTTTTTCGGTCCAGGCCTAAACATGAACAGCCCTACATATGGCTACTCACCTCTTCAATATTCTCCCCACCACCACCCTCAACAATCGCACCCCACATGAAGTTCTTTATCGCACCCCCCATCTTATTCACATCTTCGCGTCTTCGGATGTCTCTGTTACCCTAACGTTTCTATCTGCTACTGCCCCTCACAAACTATCCCCACGTTCTGGTCGGTGCATTTTTCTTGGTTACCCAGAAGCCCAGCGTGGCTTTCGCTGCCTGGACCTAACCACCCACAAGATCATCATCTCCCGTCACGTCACCTTTGATGAGTCCTGTTTTCCCTACGCCCCTCAATCCTCTCCTTCCGCATATAATTTTCTCGACGACATGAAGGACAACGTTCCGCCCCACTACCACCGTTCCCT